CTTGATGTATTAACAAAAAAAAAAAAAAGAAAGAAAGAAAGGGTTTTTTCAGGGCAAAAACCACAAAAGGCAAGAAAATTAATTTGTTGCCTTTAGGGGGAAATGAACAAAATGTGCCTTTTTGTTGTTTTTTTTCAAACAATATTTTGAAAAATGTAGAAAAAAGAAGTCTTATATAAATTTCAAACAAAAAATCAGATCAGAAAAAAATAACTTTTTTGTTGAATTTTAATGAGAAAAAAAACATTGACCAGTGAAAATAATTGTTGTTTTCTTTCCCAAAAATTTTGTTTATATATAAAAATACAATGAAGAAAAGAAAGAAAAGTAATAATTTATATTTTTTAACAACAAAAACATTTTTGAAAGAAAAGAAAAAAATGTAATTTTGAATGGTGTTAGTAAAAAATATATTTTTATAGCAAATGAAGAACAAAGTAAGTAGTTTGTTTTTCAAACAAAAAAAAAAACCCCAGCAAAACCCAAATATCCCAAGCATTTGTAACCCAGGAAGAATTTTCACAGCGTTATTATGATCATTATTATTGATGTTGCATTATTATTTTTTAAATAAATGTTCGTCATCAGAAATATATCTCTTTTTACATATACCAGCACTGTATCGTAACAGAAACATCTCATATTTTCAGATCGTACACGTGATCACCACTTTCTCACCACTTTGCTCCAAAAATTAATTGTAATGTAAAATATATTATATTTGGCTCAATGAATTTCTTTTGTCAGATCTTCCCACCAAACCCAGCGCGCATTGCTGGTGTGCGAGTTATCCCAATGTCACCTTCTGCTCCTGGACGGAACCCCCAGGCTCCCATCCTCTGGACTACATCGTCTCTTACAGGTACAATCCGGTGATCACAGCAGCAGGATCAGCAACAACAGTTCATTTTTGTGGTTTACGGTGCACCAAAAGAAGTGTCCTGTGAGTGAGTCCTCATGTGTTAAAGTTATTTCGTGTGCGCCTTTTAGTGAGAGACGCCAGCCATCAATCAGCAAGCCTTGTCGTCTCATTCCTCCCACCTCCTCCTTTTCATCATCATCATCATCATCATCATCATCATCATCATCATCATCATCATCATCGTCATCGTCATCATCATCATCGTCCTCTTCTTCCTCCGAGCAGGTACCAACTTTAATTCACTTTCATCAAACACTCATATCTATCACCCCCCCCAAAAAAAAACAAAAACAAAAAAAAAAACCGAATACTGTACCAGAAGCAGAATCAGATTTAACGGTCAAGTGTGTAAAAAACACACAAGGAAAGAAACATAAGCAATAACAATGACCAACAGAGGGAGACAGAGCGGGCAGTTTCGTGGTTGACTATTTAGCGCCCTGAGATCTTAGATGTGGAAGGAGACGATAAGAGGGGAAAAAAACAGATAAACTCTCACCATTCTCCATAAAGGAGAGCATGCCTTGAGCCTGAAAAAAACTCAGCACATACATTGAGTCAGATAATAAAACAGAAGTGTAGGACATGCACATGTGAAAGAGGGGGGAGGAAAAAAGTGCGCCATTTCAGCCTGGGGCATCCTCAGCGCACCTTGGGCTATCATGGGGAGGGCTATGGGAAAGCCAACGAAGGCAGTGAAGTGTCTGCTAGCATCTCTTCCAGGAGAAAGTCGAAAGTACATCGCGGTCTATTCAGCTACTCGGGGCCAGCCGGCTCCCCTCTCCCAGCTGTTCTCATCGATAAAATCCAGCAGGTGGCTGGTGTAGTATTTAAGACCCAAGACTACACAAGACAAAGTTAGCAGACAAGATAAGGGAAGAGAGGAGCATCTATGTCGAGAGCCAAACGGAAAGAATTGGCAATTAGAATATTGGCAGTATTTGGGTTTTGAAAGGCCATGTAAATACAGGTAAATAGACGTAATTTTCATTTCTTGTTTTCTATTCTGTACTGTCAATAACGCATGTTTTAGTCATGTCACTCACCACACGAATAAAGCAGTCGTTTTCTTCCTCGCACCGCATACGTCTCAGTTTCGCAATATAAGTTTACCTCTGATTACTGTATGTATTTCCAGAATTGAAAACACACACACACACACACACACACACACACACACCAATTCTCGGAATTTTTTTTTTAAATAATGTTAAATTTAGCACGGCAATCTCCAAATTCAGCTATTTTTAATTATTAATTGATATATGTTGAGAGAAACAACAACAAAAACAAGGAAATAAGAATTAAAACAAAAAAAAAACCATTGATGCAATTGAGTACAGACGCTCTTCGACTTACGAACATCCGAGTTACGAACAACGGTACATACGCACATTTTTACGGATATGTTGAAAAAGAAAAGAAAAAGTTAGATTTTGTATTACGCGCCTTTTTCCGAGTACAGTACAGGTGTGGTGCTTCTTTCCGCCGCTAATACCGACGTGAGGCGCTGTGAGAGCTCGCCCAGCATCCACCCCGAATCCGGCTTCCTCTGCCCAGTTGTTAAATATCTCGTGCATCCATTATTCAATATGGTTGGTGAAAAGCGAAAGGCTTCTAGTGAGAGTGGAAGTGTAAAGAAGAGGCAAGCCATTTCATTTCAAATGAAAGTGGCAATAATAAAGAAGCTTGATGCGGGTGAGAAAATGGTGAGTGTTGTACGTGCATACAACATGAATCGTTCGACCATCGGTACCATTTATAAACAGAAAGATCGCATAATGGAACATGTGAAAGGTGCAGTGCCGATGCAATCGACGATCATTAGCAAGTAAACATACTTATATAAGCCTTAAACATACATTCCATACAAAATATAGCACTGAAGCAACTTACGAACGAATTCACCTTACGAACGACCGTTCGGAACGTATCTCGTTCGTAAGCTGGGGAGCGTCTGTACATGAACTTCCCTTTATTTGAAATCGAAGCTGGATGAAGGAATAAAATGACATATTGAAGTACTTTTGTTTCACCCATTTTTTTTGCAGTTGTGGCACTGCCACTTGCCCGACCTGAAGCTGCTGACCGATTATGTCATCAACGTGACCACTGTGTCTTCTTCTGGAAGCAGCAGCGTTCATCTCAGCAGCTTCATGCTGGAGGACGTTGGTAAGCTAACCATAATGGCCACATTATAACACTAGAAAATTTCTGTGAAAATTTTGAATGGGACTATTGATGTTTGCAAGTCCGAAAGCCGTATTTGCGAAGGCTTTGTGCCAAGGCGGATGTGGACTTGCCCTGTCGTAGTATTTGAAAAATTTTTTTTCTTTATAAAAAGAAAATATTTTTCACGGATTAATTTAAAAAAAATAAAATTTTTGAAAAAAAATCATAACATTTGGGTTTTATTTAGAACCCATAAAAAGTTTTTGGAACAGGACTAAGCTAAACAATTAAAAGTTTAATGTTTGAATCGACAAGAAATGTGAAAATTTTAGGTAAACAATAAATCAAATCAAGAATATCTAAAGAAAATCTCATTTGGGGCTTCTATTTTGAAATCTTGTATAAGCTCATTTTTGTGCGGATACATTAAACAATGCTTGCTGAATTAAGGTGGGGAAAATAGCAGAATAATAAATAATATATATGTATATGTAATGTCATAATGTATCAATGTTTCCGCTTGCTAATGATGTATTGCTGAATTAAGGTGGAAGAAAAAAAAACAGCAGAATAATAAATAAAAAGCAATAATAATGCATTTGCGAGATGAAGTTAGCTGTAACAAGTTTTGCTCCGAGCAACCAATCAGATGCTGACATCATCAAGGTCTAGCTCTGGGCCTTCGAGGATGAATTTGAAGTCTGATTCGTTAAAGCAACGGTTATTGCTTATATAGGTGAAGTTATATGGGTCAGCAATACTGTAATCTGCTTGGGCAAAATTGAAGTTTACCAAATCTTAATGCTAAAACTCATTGCAATATGTCATAGATAGGCTAATTACCGTATACTAGCATTGGTGTACCAGTAGTAGTACTTTAAAAAAATGTCACCGATTTACATTTGAACACAAGTGGCAGCATGCAATCTATGATTAATAATTTATCCTTTGCGAAGAACACTGAACATTACTGTTGAACCCCCTTAGTTGCGATGATCTTCTTTCAGTGTTTCTTCATCAAATCCACATCCACCATGACTTTATGAATGATAATGCCCCCGGTGGCCAAGGCGTGCACAGCAGACACACAATGTCCATTGGATGAAATCATGATGCACAAAGTTTTCTTTTTCCATCCATCCATCCATTTTCCGATCCGCTTTATCCTCACAAGGGTCGCGGGGAATGCTGGAGCCTATCCCAGCTGTCTTCAGGCAGTAAGCGGGGGACACCCTGAACCGGTTGCCAGCCGATCGCAGGGCACACAGAGACGAACAACCATCCGCGCTCGGCCTCATATCTAGGGACAATTTAGAGTGTCCAATCAGCCTGCCATGCATGTTTGTGGAATGTGGGAGGAAACCAGATTCCAGTTATTTTAACTATTGTATATTTTAATAGAGTAAAATCCTGATGAGTCGTAATTGAAAACACATTTTTTAATTGCTGTTTTGTGAGGGCTGGAACAGATTATTATCATTGTCATTCATCTTAAATAAGCCCCGGCTGTTGTAAATGTCGGTCAAACGCTCACCACTGATATTTTGTCTTTTTTGCAGTGAAACCTGACCCCCCTGTGGATGTCAAGGTGTCGCCCCACAATGCCAGGAATGTGTTGATGGAGTGGTCGCCTCCCCCGACGTGGATTTATCTGGACATGGCACCGCTTAAGTACCAGATCACGTACCGGTGGAACCACAAGGGCCAAGCCAAATCTGTCAGTGTATGTTTAAAGGCCATAGTTCCATTCAAATCTTTTTGGATTTATGTTGTTGACTCTTTTTATCATTGTTTAAATCTCTGGATCATGTTTGAAAATGACACCTGAGCCCTGAGCCTGTGATGTCATTTTCAGTCGACAACAAGTAGCACAATGCGTTTTCAAAGGTGGTAATTGTACATGAAAAACAATAAAAACAAATTTATGATGGACAATCTATTAATTTTTTACGGCTAAAAATGGCAAAATTCGAAAACTTTCCCTTTAAGTTATCCCACAATGTGGAGGAATTAAAAACGTACAACAATAACAACAATAAACTGCCACTGTATTTGTGTTCTTGCTGATTGTGCACTTCTGGTTCCTGCAGCTTGGTCCGTTGGAGAGCACCAGCGTGGAGCTGAAGGGTCTGAGCCCAGGAAGAGAGTACGTGTTTCAGGTGTGCGCAATGGACCTCCTGGGTCTGGGCCAGTGCAGTCAGTGGAGCTCGCCCGTCATCGTGACTTTACCCACACTTTAAACACCATAAATCAGGTCGTTGAGTTGATGTCAGGATTTGTTGAATGTTTTTGCTAATCACTCCAAAAAATATACTTTTGTTGGGAGGTCTCAACACCCTTGATTCATCAGTATGGCACTAATGTTAGCACTTTTTTGAAGAAAATAAACAATAAATTACTGCATGTACTGTTAAATTGTCTCACCGTGTGTTGCTGCATTGTTTTGAGTTCAATCCACTGCTTAAAGAGTTCTCGTGATGAAATCGTTGGCCTGTATCATATTTCACTTTTTGGGACAACAAGAAAAAACACAACTTTTTGAAAACACTGGTATTTTTTTTTCTTGATATTGAAAGAAATCATTCAACCAGATGTGTGAACAAGTAAGCAAAAGAAAAAAGACACTTCACTTATTGCTGAACAAATAAATGTGACTTAGGCAGAATGTGCATTTTTTTCCTCTTTGATCTAAATGCAAACATAACCTCACCAAAATGGTCGCCTCCTGAAAATGGGGTATTTTACTACTTACCTCATATTCCAAAAATGTGTTTCAACAACTGGAGGCGCGTAGAAGATATTGTAAAGAATTTGGGGGGGGGGGGGGTTGACTTCCCCTTTAAAGGGACACTTTGGGTTGACTACTGGCATTTATACAAAAATGATAAAAAATATGTCAGCTCTAAAATTCGCCCCTTGCAAACTCAGTAGTGAATTAATGCGTTGTTTTCTGACCACATTCGGCACATCTTAATGATGCCCATTTTTTTATGGCTGTGCTTTGCTTTTTTCCATCTCAGCCTGTCAAGGTAACTGAGGGAAGAGGGCAAGCAGTGTAATATTTGGAGATGCACACATTCCAACATTACGTGACAGTACAGTACATCTTTATTAAAGATGTACTGTACTGTATTGTATTTGCTTTTATTTTTAAATCTATCCCACGTATTCCTGAGTGTGTGAGTGTATTGATTTTATTGTGAAATGTATACCACGACTTCCTGCCTCCCGTGCATGTGGAGTTAATAGTGTGAGGGGTTCTGAGTGCGTGGGTGCAACTAGACTATTGTAGGGAAAGAAGAACAGGTCGGTTTCGAATCGCACCAACTGCGTGGGAGTAATTTAAAGCTACTCGCGGCCACGACGCCGCCCTGAACTTTAGCCGCTCGCTGCTCGGATTTGGGGAAATCCTCCAGCGTCTGTTGGGATGAGGGGAGACGTTTGAACATTCTCTAGGATTCGGACGGTGGAAATAAGGAGGAAGGAACACGGCGTTGTACGGTTGCGCGTGATAAATCGGTGAGTGAGCAGTTCAACTCTGCGTTAGCATTTAGGCTAACCCTGCTTGCGTTTGCCGTTTTGGGATTAGTGAGCTAGCTAATGCTAGCGGGGCTAACCCGAACGCGGATCAAGTGCTGGAGATTATCCGATGTAAAGAGCACACTGTCTTTCCTCTTGTCTTTCGCCCCTCACCAAGCGCCTGTGTTAGAGACATTTAGATGTGCTTCAGAATCAGTGACGTACTTCTCAAGTCGGCACATGAACTCGATTTTGTTTGATGGAGAAACTACGATTCAGGATCAATGAGATTGCTGCTGTGACTATTCTATTTGAAATGTGTTATCTGAGTTTGTGTGTGTACAATGCCAGCATTTAATGATAAGCCTTCCAAGTGGATCACACATGCCTGCTTCTATTCTCAGTTGCACTCTTAATCTATCTGAAAGTCTGAAGACCAAGAAGTGCTGCAAGTGATGTCACCAATCAGCTGATGTCAACGTTTATGTTTACGAAGTGTGATCGTCTATTTATGGTTTATTCCCGCATCTAGCATTAATTGGAGTAACCAAATGCTTTGTTGTTTTGTTGCGTACAATAGTTTCACGAACGGTAGACAAGTTGTCCGCCTTATACCGGTATTTGTTCACTTCGACACAATTATTCATCTCCACCTTATTACTACGCTTCATGAGCTTTTGCGTGAAATAGGTGCGCGACTTCCGGTATAACAAAACTGGCAGTTTGTTTACATGGACACTGTGCGAGTTCACGTTCTATGACAGCTAACTTTGACTTCAACAATGTTGGAACGCAGGTTGTTGCATTTTAGAAGAGCAAACGTTTCAATCCCACTTCCTGCTAAAATAACATGGTAGGCGCATGACACAAAAAGGAGGCCAGTGACAAGGTACAGTCACATGGTTAACTCCTTTCCAAACTGTTGGTTCAGACCTTAGGCAATGAGCAATCTCAAAGGCTGTGAGGCATATCCATAGCACAGAGTCTACCCCAACTGTAGCGTTTGATACGGTGGATCACAGTATTCTGTTGGCTCGTTTGCAGCACAGGTGGGCATTAGTGGTAGCACCCTAGAGTGGTTCAGATCCTATTTGGCTGAGAGAACATTTTGTGTTTGCCTTGGTCGTTCTGAGTAGTGATGTGTCGTTCGCGAACGAACTGGCTCTTAGAGCCGGCTCTTTGACGTGAACGACGGGAGCCGGCTCCTAATAGGGAGCCGCTCCTAATAGTAGCCGACTTTTTTTTTCTCCTGCTATCCCCCCCCCAAGTCGGATAAAGCCGCACGTGATTGGTCAAGATCCGTGGTAGAAGAGGGAGGGGAGGGTTACACACGCGCTGCAGCGAATAGAAGGGGGAGGAGTTAGAGACACACACAGCAGCACACTGTGAGCAGCACACGAACAGGAGAGACAGGGAGACGAGAGAGAGCTCGACAGCGCTACAGAGAAAAAAACAACACGGTGGAAAGTGGAAAGGTGAGAAAATGGATTGGAAGCGCAGTGAAATTTGGACTCATTTCAACTTAATTGATAGTTCAACAGCAGCGTGTAGACTGTGCAAGGTTAAAATATCCAATATCAAATTTTAATTTATAATTTGTTGTGTGGTAATCAAAGCTTACTTACGTTGTTTTACTGAAAGTAGTTAAAAGCTTATAAATATACACAATCAGAGATTGGAACTTTTTGTTGACCTTGTTTTGAGATGGGTCTTTGTTGTAGTACTTTGTAATTTATTTCTTGTAGCACTCCATGTTGTACTCCATGTTGAGTATGTTCAGAAGAATATAAATAAAGCCATATAAATAATAAATATTTGATATACTGTATATTTTTTACATTAGTAATTCATTTTACACATTACATGATTTTTGGTCGTAAATTAATTTAAGCAACAAAAAAACTGAGGAGCCATATGGGAGCCGAAAGAGCCGGCTCTTTTTCGTGAGCCGAGCCAAAAGAACCGGCTCTCTAAAAGGAGCCGGAATTCCCATCTCTAGTTCTGAGTCCGGCACTGCTCCACTGTCACATGGTGTTCCACAGGATCCACTTTTGTCCTGTCTGGAGGAAATTAAGACCTGGATAACACATTTTTTTGAATGTCAATGAAAAGGAAACTGGTGTTTGGTGCCATTGGCCCTTGTACATCCCATCCTGCTCACTTGCAACCCCTGGCTCCTTATCTTAAGCCAACATTCTCAAACTTGGGTCTTAAACTGGACAGTGATTGTAAATTGGACTGGCAAATTGGTGCTGTTGTTAAATCTAGCTTCTTTCATCTTAGACAGCTAGCTGAAGTAAATCCTCTCCTCTCTCAACAGCACTTTGAAACAGTAATTCATGCCTTCTTCACATCTCGGCAGGATTACTGTCATGCACTTCATTTTGGAGTTAGTTTAGTTAGGCAAGCCCACTCAATGCCCATCTTTAAAACTTGTCTTAAAAGTCATTTTTATTCTTTAGCTTTTGACTCAGCATGAGACTTGATTTTAGTTTGACTGTTTTCGTGGTTTTACTGTGTTCGTGATTCATTTATTGTTTGTTTTTGTATGACTTATTTTTGTATATACAGCACTTTGGATACAGTGATGGTTGTTTTAAAGTGCTCTATGGAAACAGTTGAGTTGAGTATCAGTTCCAACACAGTAATAAAGTTTGTCATGTTTTGTTAAGCGGTTGGACAGTCTGATTCAGCTCAAAGCAGAAGTAGGACCCCGAGGCAAACCTCCTACTTCCCACTGCATGGTAACCACATGACCAGGACGCGTAATTAGTCCCCGGAGGAATCACGGAATTTGCAGTGTATTTCCAAGCTCTCCGCTAAGATCACGGCGAGGTGCAGAATCTTACATTTACATGTAGTTTTCATCCAAGCAGCTAGATGTCGCGGTCAGACAGTCTATGTTCATACTGCAGGGCATGATGCCCAGTTTAGATTTTTTTTATATATTTTTTAAGACCCACGGAAAATTACCTTTCAACCCGCAAAATCAAGATTTCTTCTCTGCAGAATCAGCGTTTTTCCGTGCAAAATCAACACTTTTTCTCTGCAGATTTCTGGGGACACTACTTGATGTAAACAAGCTCCACGTCGCTCCATGTCATAAAATGGCGCTCAACCTTCCAAGTTTATGTTAGCAACACAACTTATGACAACTACCCGCTGGAGGTATTAGAATGATCGGGTCCGATATTTTGAATTTTTCTGAGCAAAATGTCTTCCTTGCCATTAGGTGCTCACCACAGCTTACTGATAAAAACGCTTACAGTTCATAAAATCTACAAATCTTGTGGCGATCTTTCTAATAATGCCACTTTTAAATTCTAAATGCTAAAGTCAGTCAAGAAAGCAATGATGTATTGTTTGTATTGTCGTCATATTGCGGTTCAGTCTGCCACCTGGTGGCAGCTGCGTGGCATAAGAGCGCAGTGAAAGCGTTTCTACACCAAATCAAGCTTTTCTGATACTCTTATAATAGGCAGTTTGCTGCAGATGACAAATGACGATAGGTACAATGGTAGAAAAATGACACGACAGACTAATTTCTTTCATTGCCACGATACATACACATCGCCATCTTGCCCGCTCCCGACAGAACACATCAAGCGGCTATTTGTGATTCACACAGAGGCACAGAAACTTCCCCCACGCACGAGTTCCAGCGTACCACCGCAGCCGAAATACAGATGATTTTTATTTTATTTGTTTAGTTATTTTTTAGCCTTGTGAAGTGGAAAAAGATCATACATGTATTTGCCTCAAGGCCTCATGAGACGGAAAACCTTCACCTCACCGACTACGGCAGGTTCTAATTTCAGTGTGTCTGCCAGCTTTGACCTCCGCTCTGAAGGAATGACCAGAGAGATTGCAGTATCGGCAATTGTCAATATGTCATTCAGTTAATCATTCAGCCCTTTTTCAGATTTTATTTCCAATAATGCTTGCCTGCAACGCACTTTTTTTTTTTTTTGAATTTCATTGGGGCAGTGCACAACAATCAATACAAGAATAAACAGTATTAATGTGCTGGACTTCGAATAAATGCTAGTTTTCAGCCGTAATCCCGAACCAGGTTTCTTAACATAAACATAACATGAACAGTTAACATAAAATAACAATAAAATAACACAAGATAAAACACAGACAGTCATGCAATCAAAGCCCCTTTTCCTGCATACTAATATTTAAAATTGTTTGATGATCTGAAACATTGAAGTGTGACAAACATGCAAAAAAATAAGATACCAGGAAGGGGACAAACACTTTTTCACACGTGTGTGTGTGTGTGTGTGTGTGTGTGTGTGTGTGTGTGTGTGTGTGTGTGTGTGTGCGCGCGCGTGCGTGCGTGCGTGTTTGCAGAACAGTTAACATAAAATAACACATAAGGCTAAACAAAAAAGATAGTGTTTCCGGTAACATGAAATTTCAGCATAGGGTCGGTAGGTCGGACAAAGTTTTTTTTTTTTTTTAATCTTTTTTTTTTCCCCCATCAAAAATTTAAACAAAATAACCAGAAAACATTCTGACTGTTTCAGAACTCAAAACCTGTCTAGTTACACGTTGTCGACCCACCTACCTTGGAGTTTTCTTATGAAATTCTTTGTTTTTCTCCTTTTCTGAACGCGCTGCTTTCATCATGACATCGACCCGTGGTGTTCATCAAATAGTGCGCTGAATTTTTTCGATACATCAATGGATGCTATTTTCTTAACATTACGATGCGAGCATGTGACTGTAACACAGAAAACGCGGTTTAAACTGTCGTCGGAGATCGCGGCCGCCGCCATATTTCAATGTTGTTGACAGACGACAGGGCAAACGACGCACGCGCTCAACGTGAATATCGCGAGAGTTTGCACCGATGTAAACCCTCTACACAAAAATGTTGAGGGTTGTTTGAAAAAAATGCCGACCGTAAAGTTTTTTTTCGACGTAGAAATTCTCGGTCGGTCGGGTTACCGGAAACACATTACTTTTTTTCTACGCCTAACATAAAACATGGACAGTCATACGGTCTTAACAACCATTCGCGCATACACATTTGAAGGAATTTATCTGGATGTCACTATTCTACACACAACCAAAAGTCACAGTTTATAAAAATAAAACCAGAGACAGTGCAACATAAGCATAAATATGTTTGTTATACTTTATATGACACACATTCAATTACTGGTAACACAAGCACACATTTGACAAGGATAAAGGCCCTTCCAACTTGATTAATTAAATGTATTGCAAAAACCCCCAATATCAACGATTTATTTAAGGCAGGGGTCTCAAACTCAATTTACCTGAGGGCCGCTGGAGCAAGGGTCTGGGTGAGACTGGGCCGCATTAGGTTTCCCCCAAAAAATGAAATGCATTTATTAAAAACAGAAAAAATATACCTATATATTATTCAATGCGGCGGTCCAGTGGTTGGTGCGTCAACCTCACAGTGCAGAATTCGTGGGTTCGATCCCGGCTCCGGCCTTCCTATGTAGAGTTTGTATGTTCTCCCCGGGCCTGTGTGGGCTTTCTCCGGGCAGTCCGGTTTCCTCCCACATTCCAAAAACATGCATGCATGGCAGGCTGATTGAGCACTCTGAATTGTTGTTAGGTGTGAGTGTGAGCGTGGATGGTTGTTTTTCTCTGTGTGCCCCGCGATTGGCTGGCAACCGGTTCAGGGTGTCCCCTGCCTACTGCCCGAAGACAGCTGGGATAGGCTCCAGCACCCCCGTGACCCTTGTGAGGATAAAGCGGTTCAGAAAATGGATGGATGGATGGATTGTTCAATGCTTTTGCTCCTGCTATACCGGGGTCGGCAACACGCGTTTCTCGAGCTGCATGCGGCTCTTTAGCGGCATCGAGTGGCTCCCTGGAGCTTTATAAAAAAATGTTTGAAAATGGAAAAAGATGTGGCAGGGAAATTAATTTTTTTGTTTTAAATATGGTTTCTGTAGGAGTAAAAACATGACACAAACATTCTTAACGTTTCCCAATGCTGTAAAAATGTACAGAATAAATATGACATTTCAACGTTTCTGTCAACGAAGATTTGCGTCATATCCTGCGACACACATTTCTATTAGCAGGGCGGGATGCAAGGCAGGTGGCTGTTGCAAAAAAAAAAAAAAAAAACAGCCTTTTTTGTGCAATTCATCGAGGGGACATGCAAAGCATGGGAATCTGAGCGGCCGAGAGAAGCATTTTTAAAAAAAAGCATTTTTAAAACGGTACACGTGAGCTACGATAGTCAAAAACGCTGCAAAAGTGCGTCCCATGCCTCTGCCGTCAAGGTAGGTATGCATGCGTCTGTAAGTGTGTTGTGTATGCGCGGATACATCGCGGTAGGTTGGTCTTCGGTCAAAAAAGGTTGGGCACCCCTGCTCTCCAAATTTATTCATTTTGATAGTAGGCTAATATAGCTCATATAGATATAGATACATGTTGCAGCACCGAAAAAGAGAGAGCTGTGGTGTTATTTTTTTAAAACGTACACTTTATTTATGCTTTTAACAGTCTCGACAAACACAGACACATCTGCGTCCGACTCTGTGCCTTCTCTCCTCTCGTTCGACTCGAGAGGCGAAAAACGGAAATTAATGATCACTTCAATGACTCTAAAAAAAGTGAAAATAATGCACCAAAACAGAAAATCAAGCGAGGAAATCACAAAATAAATTCTATGGGGGCGTTTGTGAACACACAACAAAGGAATGAGTAACATAAACAATTCTGAGACAGTCCAGTCTCCTACTTACAAACAGCATGTGTTTCCATCATTGTAAGTTTTATAGAAGGCTTTTATTTTTTTGCGGCTCCAGACATATTTGTTTTTTTGTTTCTTTTTGTACTATGTGGCTCTTTAAACATTTTAGGTTGCCGACCCCTGTGCTATACCCTACACTTTTTTTTAATGCTTTGCTTCCAGTTTTCTACAGGAAAAGCTCTGATAAAAAACATTCCACTGTTCTCAAATAACTTCATTTTTATTTTTCTACACCAACTGAATGAAATAAATGGAAGAATCGAAGAACGTAATTTCCGCTGGTACCAGATCGCCTCGGGGTCCTGCACCTGCATATGACGTCGAGCACAGCACAGTTAGGTCAGAAACCATGGAGCCAAGTGTTTGTGGTGGCCGTTTGATATTTAACTAAATAAATTTAAAAAAATGTAATAAAGTTTGAAAAGCTCGGCTAGTGGTTAGCATGGAGCCAACGCTAACATGGACACGCACACATAAAACTTCTCGTGTGTGTATGTCATCGTGCTAGCTCCGTGTCAGTGTCTTCGCACTCATTTTTCCCATTCTTGTGCGTGTGTAGGTCGTGGTCTGGTGCTTCAGAGCACCCGGCTCGGTTGACAGCCACGCTGGCATGTTGTTTATCTGTTTAAATGTGTATTCAGCAGCAGCGGTGGTTTGTGGACATCCGTGGTTTACAGATGTATTCAAGCAGGTGCGGGGCACCTAGGGCATGGTCACGTTGCTGCTTATAGTCCGGGTGCTCCGAAGCTATCGGCTTTCGAATGAGACAGACCTAACTATTTAGCACGGTGGTAGTGCTACCACATACAGCATCCATATCAAATTCGCGTGGGTCGCACGAACATTAAACTTTCATATCAAGGCAGGGGCCTCAAACTAGCGTCGAGTGGGCCTCATTTGGCCCGCGGGGTGTGATTTTGAGACCTCTGGTTTATGGCTCAGCACACATGCGCTGCACTACTCAACGAGGGTATTGGACAAGATGTAATGAGTTCTCTTCTTCTGTCATTTCAAGTCATGTACATCATTACGTGAGTGCCACCCAGTGTTCAGAGCCAGTTGAATTAAACAGTGACCAAAGATCAAGATAACAAACTTGGGTTGCCTAAACTTTGGTTTTGAGGTAGTTTTTCCGAAATGTTACTTTAGGCACGTCTGTATTAAGTTTAATTCTTTGCTCTTCATTGGATTCCTTGAAATGAAGTTGGAGAACCACATATTTTGATCGGGAAAGAAAATGTCGTTGGCTTTGTGGATGCCACTATGTACTGCGGAATCTGAAAATAAATTTGATTTGTTCACATTTAACATCCGCAGGTACTGAGGGGTGTGAACTTGAAGTCTCAATGAATTTACTTTTTTTTTTTGGTTGCTAGGTGAATGCAATGGAGCAGCAGCAGCAGCAGCGACAGAGAGCTCTATCCACGTCAGGAGAATCGCTGTACGCTGTGCTGGGAGTGGACAAGAATGCTACCACAGAGGAAATAAAGAAATGTTACAGGTGATCTGTCTGTGTCCAATACTAGAGAGAGCTGTTGAGTCTTTGTCATCATTGACACAACCCAGCGGTGGGGAACTGTCTGTACAGTATTCCCACACTTATGTCACTGTTCATTGTTTGCGCCCCAGCTGCACTTTTTTGATTTATTTATTTATTTATTTTTTACTTTTTCAATGGCAGTCATTTTAAAAAAGAGAACCTATTGATTACCATCCAATTTAGAGCATTCTGACAGATCTTTAAAGGCTCGCACAATAGTGTGTTGGATGACTATTTAACACTGGAACTACCAAATGAAAGATGACTCTCTTCTTTCATCACAAAAAATCAGTTTGTTTCTACCCGATTCGATTTTTTTTTTGTTATCACCAAATCACCTATTTTTGACCAAACAAATGCGGAGAACAAGCTTTTGTGAAAAAATGTGTTGTCCCCAACAGTGACTTTCATGCAAATGCTTTCATGTCCGGGTGTCACACCCATTTTTGTTGCGGGCCACATTTTAGTGACCGTTCCCCTTGGAGGACCATTATGACTGAAATCGTATAAAGAAGTCAAGAATAACAGTATATTCAACAATTGTTTAAGGCAGGGGTCCCCAACCTTTTTTACCCCACGGACCGGTTTATTTTCAGGGACCGGCATTTAAGGTGTGGCGGATTAATACAACAAAATAACATGGTATGAGCTGCATGAAAACTGTGGTGTTTTCGAAATATAACAATAAACAAAAGGAGCGGCTAATCTGGCCGCAACACTGATTGCTATGGTAATGTTTAATGCCTTCAAAATACGATACAACGCAAACTCAAAGTGCATGAAAATGACGATTCACCACAGCCCCGAGCTTGATTTTCTGCAACCAGACGGTCCCATCTCGGGGTAATAGGAGACAATGACACCTCAAGTGTGTGGTTTATGTCCAGTCTACTTCGTAATTTTGTTTTAGTCGCTCTTGCTGCAAAAAAACCCCACCTCACACAGGTAGGATGTCGGAAATAGCAACAGTGCTATTGTGGCGATCTCAGAGTATTCAGCCATAACTTTAATCCAGTTGTCTCGAACGTACTTTTAAGGCCGCCGTCATTTGCGATCTCCAGCAGTTTTTTTACTCATTTTGCGAGCTCCGGCGTTTTGTTTTTAGCGCAATCGGTCACGTAACGGAGAAGCATGGCTTGACGTAACTCAAGCGTGACACAGACGGATGTAACGGAGAATCCGGTAATTTTTCAGAAGAAAACATCTTTCGTATTCCGAAATAAATAAAACGGAATTAAGGCAAGTTCTTTCTGTGCGGCCCGGTACCAAATGCCCTGCGGACCGGTACCGGTCCGCGGACCGGCGGTTGGGGACCCCTGGTTTAAGGTACTGTAATGAGGTGTTTGGCAACAACAAAATTCTGACAATGTGTCTCTTTATTTATTACATGTGAGAATTTGAAATTTTGGTCCCGTATTTTCCACACTAAAAGGCACTGGATTATGAGGCGCACCTTCAATGAATGGCCTATTTTGTTATTGTTTTCATATATTGGACAAATCGCATTATAAGATGCAATCTACAATGCATACACTAGGTGGCGCTACGCTCAACGAAATGCCAACAGAACACTACAATACACTACACCCTGATTTATATAGCGACGATCAGATGTCAGTAAAACTTATATAATAAAGCAGTGACACAGTTCACTTAGCCAACAGCAAGTTTTAACATTGACTCGTTAACATTGAATGCTCTTGCCGCTGCTCTATTTCCGTGTTCAACTGCGAAACCGATTGCCTTACGTTTGAACTCTGCATTGTAAGCATGTCTCTAGCAAGGAGCCATTTTGGGGTTGACATATTGCTGTACAGACCATACACAAGGCGCATCGGATGTTAAGGTGCGCTGTGAGCTTTTAAGAAAATGGAAGGCTTTTAGCATCATGGAAGTTGCCATGTTTGATTTGCTTTCGCGGGCCACATACAATGTGGTGGGCCAGATCTGGCCCCCGGGCCTTGACTTTGACACCTGTGCTTTAGTGTCACTTCTTCTATCAAATACACAAACGACAACAATGAAAATGTGCTTTTGATGGAAAAATAATATCCAGGCGCTCCCCGATTTACGAACATTCATGTTACGAACAACGGTACATACGAACATTTTTGCGGGTACAGGTATGTCGAAAAATGTTCTCGGACAGAGATCCTGTCAGTTAGATTTTGTATTGCGTGCCTTTTTCCGAGTACTGTAGTACTTCTTTCCGCCGCTAATACCGACGTGAGGCGCTGTGAGAGGAGGAGGAGGAGGAGGAAACGCCGCCTGTCCCCATGAAGAAGTTTTTGACGGAACTCTTGGCCGAGGGGTTTTCGCTCATTGATAAAGCCATCGCACTCTTCGAGCAGCAAGACCCAAATATTGAACGTTGCACAAAGGTTGCAAATCAAATGAATGATGCCACACAGTGCTACTGCATCATTTATGATGAGAAAAAGAAGAAAACTGTGCAATCGTCCATCTCCTTCAGCCTTCGAGTACATCTTCCAAGAGTAAGTTAAACTTCATTTTATTATACTTATATAAACCTTAAACATACTTATACAGTGAAACTCCTCTACAACGAAATCATGTTTGCAGCAAGAAATTTTTCACAACAGGGGGTTTTTCACTGTAGCAAATTTGATCTCAGATGTAAGCACACACACACCCACACACACAAACGTATGTGTACACGCACACACAAACGTTTGTGTACTCTATTTTTATTCCAATAGTACATAAGTATGAGCACACACTTATTTGACACTTCATATTGTCAGTGTAGAAAGAAAAAAAGGGAAAGAAATTGCGAAATTTACGATCAGCATTCACTTTCACTTACATCAATTTCTTGGAAAATGTATTTTATTTTGCTTGCTCCGTCTTTCATTTTGATCACTTTTACCCTCTCTTCCAGCATCAGAGCTCTTCTTGTCTTAGCTGCTTGACATCAAAAGGTCCGTTTTGTAGCCATTTTAGCAATGCAACGTCCATCCTCGTCTGAATCTAACAATAACAAATACTTCCTGGCATGCAATGAACTTTTAAGCCAGCCACGGGGCGCTTCGTAGTCCTCGATGGCCATAGTTAGCTCTCGAAGACTAAAAACCTTA